TTCTTCTTCTTCTTCTTCTTCTTCTTCTTCTTCTTCTTCTTCTTCTTCTAGGACCAGAGGACCAGAAGCTATAGAGGTTGGAGTGGCTGAGAGCTGTCAGGCTACTCAGGTCCATTGGTCCATAAACATACAGTATCTTTGAGTCCGGGCCCTTCTTTCGGGCGTAATTTCGGAGGCTTTAACAACTTTGGAATCTCATGCTTAATCTACCATAGTCCAAGAGCTTTGTTCCAGCGAGCTTCGACAGGAAGGAACTCCAAGTCTGAGTAGCATTGTAGGGCAGCAAGATACACGGAAACGCAATGCTTACCAACCTCACAACCCACCCCACTCTTTCTCCTCTTCCCAAACTCAACGCCTTTCACATGCTTTCACCAAGTCATCTGCGTACTCCACTAGTCCCTTTTAAACCAACACAAGAAGAACCACACGCAGAAACCCGCAGAAAAAAGCCGCCTCCTCCCCCTGCGTCCCGGGTCCCGGGTCCCCCCGGCATGCGCCCACTGAGCCACATCCGCTCGGCCTCGCTGAAGATGTCGATGAAGGGCGGTGCCACGGGCGTCGGATGCCAAAGCCCCGGCTCCAAGCCGTGCGCCGTGGACGCCCTGAGAGCGCGAGCAGCGCTCTGGCGCGCAGACGAAGAATCGAACGCGGCGGGCTGGATGGAGGTGAGGAGAGATGCAGTTCTTTTTGAGTGGGAAACCCTGAGCCCTATGGATGGGCACATGGGGCAAAGCAGATCCGGTAGTAGATCCACATGCGAAAGATTGAAAGGTGGCATTGGAGACAAAATGGCCCCCTGGAGCCACGACTTTCCAGTACGAAACAGATCAAAGCAGGTGCATGTCTCCACTTCCATGATTGTTTCAGCGAGTGTATGTCTCACCATCGGTCTCCCAACTCACTGCCTGAAAAAAAAAAAAAAAAACTCTTCCCAAACTCGCACACCAAACTCGCGCCAGAAAACCCAGGGTCACTGGTTTTCTCGCGCGGCTCGGTCGCTCCCAGACCACCTCCCACCGGCGTTCCACCCTCCGACCCGGTGGGGCGCACTGCACAGTCTCTTCGATGAGCTCGTCCATCAGATCAGAGACCACCTCTTCAGTGACCGCCTCGACGGGACGGGACGGGACGGTGACCGCGGTTCTGAATGCGGGTGACGGTGGTGGTTTTTTCGTTCGGACTTCCCGGTTTTTCGATCTTGGGAGGGGCCGGAATCTGGTCGAAGCAAAGAGGGCGAGTGAATCGACTATCCACATCGATCTATTTACCAAGCTGCGCAAAGGAAGTGTCTATAGGCTATATACAGGTTCAAGGTGAATAGTGTCTATAGGCTATAGGTCTTTCGTTGATGCAAAAGAAAGAAACGCCTTTGTCTTCCCACCACATCCAAACGGACTTCCGACAAAGACTGAAGTTCCATTCTACCCGGAGCCTTCGCAACGTCATCCGACTCTTCCTGGCATTCTACACGATAGTATACACTCCCTAAAACCAACATGGAAGTGGAGAATGGCCCCTTGGAAGACCATTTTCCACTACAAACAGGTGGTGTTCCACTTCTATGTTAGTTCCAGGGAGAGTATACTACAGTTCAAAAGGTCTGAGACCTTGGTGAGGTTTGGGGGGATCAAAGACTACAGAACCCCACCCAGCCGTTGCGGAGCACGAACTCTCAGGGCGGCAAGGCAAGCGATAGCTTGCTCCCTTCAGTAGAGTCTCAACTCCAAGGTCCAAAACCAGTAACGACACTCCCTGAAACAAGATATGGCAAGTGGAAGAAAAACACCTGCATGCCAGCAGTCACAAAGGGGTGCTATCCATAGAGGTTTTCTGGATGCCCCTGTCATATCCACTCACTGGATGGGACGAGCCACACCACCCCGTCTTGTGACTCCTGCAGGCGTCAAGGTCTTCCGAAAGTGGTCATATGTTCATCCTTTCAAGGCCGTCCACTTCCCTGGATGACTTCAAGAAGTGTATGGCCCTCGTATCTCCTTTGGTTGCTCCGTGGCCTCGCGGTCGTCGTCCCTTGGTGCAGGCACCGCAGGCACCGCAGGCACCGCAGGCACCGCAGGCACCGCAGGCACCTGCGGCGCCAGTTTGGAGCGTCCAGGAGACACAGATCTTCCCTGATCAGTGGGGATTTGGACCCGCTTTACATTTTGGGCACTCCAACAGAGGAGGAGAATATGTTGCACACAGGTGTCGGTACAGAGTAGCAGTCTGAGTCATCATCTGAGGACTGCATCTCCAAAAAATTGGAGCATGTGGACCGCCCGAGAAGTCTTCATCCTGAAACACTTTCTGAAAACCTCCACCTTTTGGGTCACCTGCCATGTTCCTCTACTTCTCCCACTTCCAAGCAGTACCGCCTCCCGGGCGACGGCCTCAGCGGGTGCCTCCGCGCGTGCCGCGCGGGCGACCTGGGTTCGGCTGTTGAGGGACCAGGGAGGGGACCCTCCAAGGGGAGGATCTGTGGAATCTGTGGGGGCTGTCAGTGTTTTTGGCTCAAAAACATTACATCGGAGAGTACAAGGCTTTTCAGCAAACAGCGGAGAGTAAGTCAAGTGGTGATTCTCTCGACCACGGGCCCCGTTCGTCTTAGCCGATGGGCTCGCCAAATCGACGTCACAACGAAACCATGTTGTACAGCCTGCCAAAATGGTCCAGTGCTTGATCGACGCACTGAAGAGGGTGATGGGTCACTTCGGATGTGAAGGTGCTGTATCTTTATCTTTAGAGAAAGTTAAAAACAAAAAAATGAACACTAGTAGCGTCCTTGCTACTGGTAGCGATGGCCTCCAACCTAATAGCGATGGCCTCCACCTATCGCTATAGTAGCTTCTTGTTACACTTCTTTATCACAGATCTTTTGGTCACTCTGGGGCCATGAAGAAACTCCAGTGACCTTTGCCAAGATGTTTCCTCTGAAGTCGAGCATAAGATCAAGCGTCCTTTTGATGTCCTCTGAAGCTTCTCGCTTGCAGTTCCTTCTTACCATTTTGCCAACTTCCTGCTTTCAAGGCATGTCAAGGGTGTAGAACTTGTCCAGAGAAATACAAACTTAGCATATAACATATTACAAGGCATCATTTGGTGTAGAACGTGCAAATGGACCCATGTCAAACCATTTTCCACAAGGAATTTGTTCTAGTGTGGCTCACTTGCGTGGGCATACTCACCAATCTGGCTGAATCAATATACATGATATACTCCACCCAAAATCTGAGCAAAGGAAGTCAAGTCGACCTAGACTGCTCCATGGCACGAATTCTTCATCCGGATATACCCTGATTCCCTCCCCAAATGGACATGTTCACTAACGTACTTCGCACGTCGGAATGATGTTGGGATGGATCCGGACCGTGTCTCCCCAAATCGCCGGACCGGCACCGAGACCGACCTCGACCTCACTGCCGATCGGTCTGGCGCAGAGATCGAGAGACCTCGTCCGGCATCGGGTCGCCCCACCTCGAGGACCCACTCGTCGGCTCCAAAGCCCGGCTCTTTCCCCTCGCCCACCTCGAGTCGACCGCGGTGCGTTCCACCCCGCGCGGCTTCCGGTCCGGACTTCGCGAAGCGCGGCGGAATTCGCAGCTTCGTCGACGCCGGTGATGGCGGCCGAGGAGTCGATGGGGAGCTCCGGGAGTCTCGGCGTTCCGAAGCGTCAGAGAAGTGGATGTCACATGACCATGATCCAAAGGTAGGGATCCAACACCCGACAAGTCAGGTGCTTCGTGACTAAGTCCGGTGCCCAGGTGCACCACCTGTGGTCGGGTCTCCAAACATTAGGGTATATCCATCATAGATATCACAGCCTCTTGGATTAGGGTATAATAGATAGATAGTGTGGATTAGGGTATATTAGGGTATATCCCTGGATCCGAAGTGTTGAAAGATCTCATCTTTCCTCCTTCGCTGCTTTTGGCTTCGTTTCTCCCTGCCGCTGGCGAAAAGCGACACACGGATCACCACCGGAGACCGCTGTGGCTTCGCGTCGTTTAGCGCCCTTTCCAAACGTGCCGGAGTGGATTCATGTGTCCATCTTCCAACACAAGTCTACCAAGGACCTTCGGACCGGCACCTGTTCCAAAATCCGGACCACCTCCCATCTCTGCTTCATTCCCTAAAGGAACAGCAGCCTCCCCGCCCTCCAGATCCTTACCTCACCTCTAGATCCTCGAGGCACAAGTCATCGCTCGAGTGGGATGATGATCTCACCTCGCCCCACGCATCGGATCGCGAGGATCGCGAGAGTCTGCCTAAACTCCCGGCCCCGGGACAGGAAGAACGAGCTACGTAGATGCGCCTGAACAATCCTCACATGTTCGGAAGGGGAGAAGGAGGAATGAGCCATGGAAGAGCAGAAAAAGCTGGAAGAGTTGATGGATTCAAGTCGAAATTCTGGCACCTTACTTGGATTGCACGAAAAAGAAACACTTTTCTCTCGCAGTCCACGGGCCATGGACCAACTCGGATTGCCTCCGTCTCGTGTTTCACGCGGGTAGCACCGTTGCGGTCACCGCCAGCACGTGTCACCGCTTCGGCCTCCACCGCCTCCGCCTCCTCGCCGAGAGAGGCCAAAGAGCTGGGCTCCTGAAGCGGACGACCACGGGCCACGAAGCGCGACGCGGCTCCGTCAAGCCCGTCGCCGGAGTCTATCCTGGTCGGACTCCAAAACGGGTTCGCTTGGTGTTAAGCTTTGGTGGGACTGGCTCTCTGTTTCGCTGGGAGAGATCCTTTCGCTGGGTGGTTTTCCTGAGAACGCCATGGCTCTCTTCACAGACCTTTTAGGTCTGAACTTGGACTCGGCTACATCTGCCGTGCTCCAAGAAGCATTCCCATTCGCGGAGAATAACGGGTGGAGTGCAATTTCTCACATCCTTCGCGCGAGCCCACGTGAAGAGAAACTCATGTGGCCCTGCACTCGAGTTCCTTGACCCAGAAGAGGCCCAGAAGATGGGGAATCCACACGTTCCGCACATGGTCAATGATTTGCGTCGCTTCCTGGGAAGCCAACTAAAAAGAAACACCTGTTTTTAAGGTACAGGGATTTGTCCAGTATTATGGAGGAAAAGAAATTTTAAGATGATTAAGCGAAACCAACCGGTGGTTGTGCACATCAAAAGCCAGGGGCCCAGCCTAGCAGTTTCCCAATCCCTTCAGCTATTGACGCCTTTCTTGTTCCCTTCACGGCTGTCCTTGTTCTCGGCAAGGCTGACCTCCTGTTTGCGTCTGGTGCAAGCTGGTTGCTTTGGTGTGGAAGGTTATAAGTTGAAAGCTTGATCTTCTTTGAAGTAAACGGCTATCACCGCAGATCCATCACACCACCCGTCTCGGTGCTCCAGGAAGCTCTCGGCATCACAACTGTGGATCTGCTTCAAGTCTGTTTTTCCATACCCCAGACACGACCCATGGGACTGCCATAGGACTGCCGCCCCATTGACCCCCTTTCAACCACCCCTGGCCGTGAAACTCACCAGTCCGTCCTGGCACGTCCCATGCGTCGTGTCTGGGTAGTCAGGATCTGCATGGTGCAAAACGGGATCTCCCACCTCCAGGTCCTCCTCTGGAGCTCGGCTTCCTACGAGCGGTCGCCGAGCGAACGAGCGGTTCCGCGAACGAGGGGTTGCGAGCCACGTCCCATTCAGAAACCGGTTCAAAAGGTTCCACCTCCGCTCCCAGGAAGCCCGGAAAAAAAGGGGTGATGATTCCCCATGCCATTCACCCAGGAACCGGGAACATACATCGAAATCGGGTCGGAGTTGGATGCTGATGTTGGTCTCTGGTGTTGGTGAGGTGGCCTGGAGCGTGCGAGCATGCGAGCACACCCAGAGGAAGCTAAAGTCGGAAGCCAAGTACAGCTGGTGCTGAGGAAGCTAAACCCTAGACGTCCAAGACCATTCAAAAATGGGAACGACCTGGTGTTTGTCGTATTTTCTAGCGTCAAATCCTTATACCAGGACCCTCCTGTCGGGGTGCCCTGTCTGGAAGCCTATAGGTAGTGTGGGGTAGTCCAGCCAGGACACCCCTTGGAGGGTCCTGGTATAGTTGATTCGGTATTCAGCCTATTCATGCTGGGCCAGGCGTCCGAAGATCCGGAACACAAGTCTTGGCCACCGTCCCAGACGATGTCTCCAGCATCACAAGAATGGGGACAGCTGAAGTCCTGCCATGTCCTACCATTACTTCTAGTAATACCAGCCTTCAATTCTCCTAGAACTAGTCATGTTGCTATCAACTGTCGCTCTTGCTTCGCCCCAGCGCGGTGTCCCGAGCTTGCCATCTGTATCCATGGCTCTCTGTCCGACAGAGAGCCGTCCGAGCGGCCGGCGGCTCCGTTGAAATGACTTGCTGCTCCAGATAGGCGGTGGGCGAACAGGAAGCCGGGAAAAACAGGAAAAAGGCCTCGTCTACCAGGGGCTGTGGATGTGTTCGGGGCACCCTGAACACCTCCATGGATAGCACCCCGTCGAACGTGACTGCTGGTAGGGATTCACGAACATACGGATCACCCGCTTGTCTCGCCAAAACAAGTCCGTCTTCTCCCTCCCTCTTCATCCCTCTGGATGGTCTCCGCCGAAGCAATCTCCACCAGCCCAGTCCAGCACCGCTGGGAGAGGACTCGTGCTCAGACGTGTAGCCTGCGGGGACCACTGGATGGGACTAAACACCACCCCGTCTTGTGACTCCTGGATGTGGTCAATGAGTTTTCTGTACATGGGATGGGACATTGCCCTTTGGGCAGAGGAAATGGGTCTTTTTTAGAAGATCATTTGTTCGTGCAAAAGAGAGTTGGAGCGGCGCCGCGACTCTGGGTTGATCCCGTTCGCTTGATTCCAACTGATGCTTTCAGGTTGAGTGTCCCAAACATGTACCAGGATACCTTGGTCACCTAACTTAACATGGCCATCTTTGACAGACTCTGGGGGTCACGAGTTGCTCATTCGGATGGGGCCCAACGAGCCATGGCTATGGATCACCAGGATCACCGCTGGTCAAGCCGACCTTGCGCAAGACCTCGACCTCCCCATTGACCTATCTGGTGTTGGTCGGGGGTTGCCCGCGAGTCGGTCCATGGTTAGCCCCGATGTTCGGGGTCTTTCGGGGGTGTCCATGAACCACCCCGACGTCGGGGGTCCAGGTCCAGGTCCATGTTCATCTTGCACAACACATCACAACCTCACAGAGTGTCGGAAGAAGACGATCCTTTCAGGGTGTCGGAACTCCCTCCCCCCCAACCTCTCTCTGGGCCTTCGTCCTCCTCAAGCTCTTCTTCTTCCTCGCAGGATCTCCGGACGGGCAGAGGAATTTTCAGGGGTATTTGAGCATCAAAATACCCCGGTTGTACTGGGGCCCAGGGTCTGTACACGGATTAGGTCCACCCCAGTACGGCCCCCCTATCATCAAAGAGCCCAGGTATCGAAAATCAACGAGCCCAGCTATCGAAGAGCTCTTCGTGGCCATCATGGCCCCAGGTTTGTCGAAGCGATGGGCGAGCACGTGAAGCGATGGGCGAGGGGCGGAGGTTACCCACTGGTTCTCACGAACGGATTTACGACATCTGCCCAGACCGGTTCTGCCCTTTTTCTCAGACCGGTCTGGGAAGGGCATAGGTCTGGGCATCGGTCTGGGCATAGGGGTTTACCATTCTTCCAACGACAAGATGGAAAGATCCATCCAAAGACAAGCTCTTTCGCACTGCTTCTGTGAGGTTTTTCACGGCTGAAGTGATATGGCTCTCCCAAACCCAGCCAATCTGCTTCTGCACGAAGAGAAACACGCAGGACCAAATCAGGGCGATATCAGGGATTTTTCCTTGTGCTCAAAGCTCCAACGCTCCTGAAGCTGACTAAAACGAGACCCTTAAAAGAAACCTCTTCCAGGGCCCCCATGTTCGGGGTGCCTAATTATAGCCCCTACACGAGGTTTGGGGGTATCATGGGGTATCTATTAACCACCCCATGGCCAGGGGGTGGTTGAAGAAGCAGGGTCTAACCCTGCTTCTGCAAGGGGTGGTTCATGGACACCCCTTGATAAGGGGCTATTTCCGTGGTGCTGGATCCTGCTTCTCCAAGGTGTGTTCCACCTGCGAGAACGGACCTGTGTTCCGCCCGTGCCTCATCTTGCTCTGACACCATCTGCGACCTGGACCGGGCCACGCCACGCCGGGCGCCGTGGGTTCGTTCAGGGGCCCCCTTACAATAGGAAAAGGTCCAGGTGAAGACCTTAGGTGTCCAAAGAAAAAGGACAGGTGAAGATCTTAGGTGTTTCATGGACTGGCAAAGCTGTTTCTAGTCCATGAACCAGCCATGAAACAGCTTTGCCAGTTCAAAAAAAAATATTTAAAAAAAAGAACGGATCGAACAGGATCGGAGTTCGCTACGACCAGACACAGAGTCAGGAGCGTTCAAACCAACGACCGGTCCTTGAGTCCCAAAGGCTTGCTCCAAAGAACGATGAACATGGTGGGGCGATGAACGATGACTCGCTTCGCTCCCCGGATTGGACATGGCAAGAAGGAAGATCCACTAGGCCCCCCCCCCGTGTGAGCTGTGTGAGCTGCTTCGCTCATGCGGGAGGGCTACTCCGTCTTCACGACGTGGAGAACACCCGGCATGGGCCCAAGGAATCAGACCACCATTGACCATAAGACATCCGGGTACCAGCTCAGCTGGTGCCATACACTTACAGTGCTTTCAAAGGTGAAAAATGGCACTGGCACCCCAAAGATGTTGTCTTTTTGATATGGAAGTCCTTCTAAACCACCAAACCTGGGGTTAACATGGGTTAACTAACTTGTACCCGTGAACCTCAGAAACCACTGCAACCTTGATGATTTCAGGGAGTCTCAGCCATCCTTCTGGAAACCGCTCGGCTAAAGGTCTGGTGTTTCAGCGACAACTGGACCTAACGTGACCTAACATATACCAGGGCCCCCGGATAAGGGCAGGGGTGATCAATGGATACCCCGAATCACCTCTAAGGAGCTATAATTAGACCGCCCTTAGGGGCCCCTCGGATTTATTCCAGACTCGGAAGAATCCGGCCATGCGTGAGAATCTCGATCTCTCTTGTCTGTTCATGTTCGGTGGGAAAAAGAAAGAAATCATGTAAAACAGAGCCCCTGGATGCCATGACCCACAGCCATCTCTCAGCCTCTTGGACCGACGCGCACCTAGGTTTAGCTTCCTCTCCCTCTCCCACCCACAGGGCTCGCCACCTTGAGGAGGACCTCGGTGGCACCGGAAGCCCCGGAAAGGTCGCGGGGGTTGGTTTTCGCCACGAGTCTGTCTGGACTTCGGACGCCTCAGTCTTGCTACTAGTAGCTTCTTGTTACTAGTAGTACGGCCAAGAGCTACGTTCGTAGCGTCCGATCGCTCCGTTCGTAGCGATGCCCTTGGTCACTAGCTGGAAACAGACAACATCTTCCCTATGCCACAACATTCACCCAGGAACGCGGGAAAATCTACATCACCCCATCTGCAAAAACCACCAAACCGTCCAGTGGAAGCCTGGTGGTCGATGCCTTTTTTGGACCTCAGTCTTGTCACAGGGATTTAACTAAGTCATGCAGCGGGGTTTTGACCCACAAATCTACAGTGCCTGGATCATACTATACCTATATATAGATCTTCCAATCATGCAAAGATCCTGCCAAACTGGGCTGGTCTTATACATGAAAAGGCAGAAATGTTCTCCTCTCTCTCTCTCTCTCTTGACACACTCCGTATTGGTTCTGAACTAGCTTGCAAGTTGATGTGGTGAAACACGTAACACGATCTTGAAATATCTAAACATGTTGAGTCCTCGCCCTTCTCACCGGCTCTGATGTGTGTCCCGACTCAAACCTCACCCATCCGAATCGGCCGATTCTCCGACCCCCACCGCGACCCCGCCACCCGGCACGGCGCCACCACCGGTGGGTGCCCAGGGATGCATCGATCGATCCGGAGCTCCCCGGCGGCTCCAACTCTGTCCTTGGTCATCCCGGCGGTTGGAGCTCGCAGCTTGGGGCGGGTGAGGCGGGGACTTGGTCTACCAGTGAAGCGAACGCATGTTGAGATAGAAAAGGTTCGAACAAAGTTTGTAGGCATCATGTGGTTTGCTTGGTGCAGGTAGGAGCTAGTCAATCAAGTTCCCTTAGTGGGGATGGGAGACTCCTCTTGAATGGAAGGAGGACCTGATATTGTGATTAGGTGCTGGAGTGATCTTCCACGACTTTCGACAGAATCAGGCTCACCAGGGGTCACCCAGTCTAAAATCATTTCAGGTCCAAATCACCCAGCAAACACTCAGATGGTGCTAGTCTGCTAGTCTGCTAGGGCTGAGGACGGACCGCTTGCGGGCGGAAAAAACCGGCGGCTTTCGTTCGGCCAGCATGGCATCCCTGGGCTGGCCTTGTGGGCACATCCAACTCATAGGTCTCGATGGCATCAGGGATTGCTTGGCCAATGCCTGACGTGGAACCCTACGGCGAGACCGTGCGGGTGCCATGAAGGCCAGAGACGCGGTTCATTTCGACTCCCGTGGCATACGGCGGCCAACCAACTGAAGACTGATCAGCCAACTTCACCATACAAGTATCATAATTACAGTATGCACAATGTCAACAGCAACTTTCTGCCTGTCCGTTGTGGCTATTTCCGTCAGGAGCTGTGGCCATGTCCAGCAACAAACGTGAGAATAGTACCTACTGGAATAATGCCAGCAACCGTAACCACAAAAAATATATACAATTCCACGCTACTATAAATCCATGTTTTCAGACTCATATCTTCATTGGTCCTGAAAATCATGCTATTGTGTGAAGAGGAAGACCCGAAACCTCCTCCGGTTCCTCCGAACCCCTTCCGCTCTTCAGCCCGACCCGACCGCGGACCCGCGGACCCGCCCCGCGGTCCGACCGCTTGTTCCGACCGCTCGGCTGTTTCGTGAATCGAAGCTTTGAAGAAGAGGATCCGACATGGAACCCCCCCCAAGGATCCGATCCGGTTGCAGAGATCGGGATCCAACCGTCGAAACCGGGTCCATTCGAACAGAGAGTCCATCTCCCAGCGGATATCCGGGTGTCCATTCATAGCCCCCCTGACAGAGGTGATTCGGGGTGTCCATGAAGCACCCCGACTGGGGGTCCTGGTTTGGATCCATGTTGCTTCCTTTCTGCGCCAGACTCGGCCGGACTCGGGTCCCGGGTACCGCAGCTTCGGTCGGCGCCTGGAAGGTCGTCAGCATGGTGAACCTGCGATGGGCCCGGTCGAAGTGGCTGGGTGCAGCCACCCACCCAGCCACTTCGAAAACCTGCTAAAACCAAAGACTTGAGGGATCGAGGTTCCAACATCATCTTCCAAACCCTGTACCCTGTGAGAATGGGCTTCATGTGATCTCCGTGATGAGCCACAGAAGTCCAAAACGGTCTCACCGATGAACGAACTCTCCGGCTTGCGGCGACCGAGAACGCGTCGTTCGCCACACCGAGAGCCTCGGTGGTCTCAGGTGAACTGAGCGGTTGAACCCTTCCAAATGTGTAAGTCATGTGGCCCAGAGGGGGCTGAACATGCGCCAAGGCCCCCAAAATGTCGGAATCCGAGGATTCCATCACAACCAATCACACAGCGGCCAAACCACTCAAACCACTTACCAAAGGTTGGTTCACTGGATTTCATGGAGCGATCAGACGCAACTAGTTTTGCTGCACAGTAAACCTCAATGAAGGAATCGCAATATCCAATCCCAGACACGACACATGGGACTGCCATAGGACTGCCGATCAGGCCAGGGGTGGTTGAAAGGGGGTCAATGTGGGCATATATGGCAGTCCCATGGGTCGTGTCTGGGAATTGCTTGGTGAATCCAAACCTGAAGACCTGAAGGCGTGCGGTTGACCATGTGTGGGGGGCGTCTATTCTGTTCATGTTCAGTTCAAAAAGAAGGGTCCCCGCGTTGCCATGACCCATGGCCAGTCCCCCTGGTGCCATGGGTCCATTTGGGAATTGGAAGATGCTGACCGTTCAGTGAAGGATTGGACTCACAGTCTGCAGAGTGTGCGGAAACTGCCAAGACCTACCTGGACGAGCCTGGACCCTCCCGGATATCTAGCTGGGTAGTCCAGCCAGGACATCCAAACAGGATGGTCCAGTAACATACATATCCTACCATTCTTGACTCTACACTCTACACTTTGGTGGCATGTTTCTCTCATCTGACGCTGGAGGCATGCTCTCCGACCTGCTTGTTTTCACTCACATCTGCAATGGTGGCCAGTGGGTTTGCTCTGCATACTGAGCCCAACAAGTCTCCATCGGGCAGGACGAGTTGAAGACTCGGAAGGCTAATACTCAGTTCCTGCGCAATGCGCCTGTGTGTCTCCCAAGCCAAATCACCCCCAAGTGCCTTCAACCGTAACGCTTCATGTCCAGCCAGATCTGAGCATGTCAGCATGATTGCATCATCTTCACGAACAAAATCCAGTTGGAAAATATGTTCTCTGCCTGATGAGGCAGTGTAGAACTGCCCAGGCTGCAGAGGTGGAATGTTGCATTGTCCAGAACTGTTGCGTCCACACACCACAACACTACCATCACTTCGGGGAAGAACCGTATGATATCCGCCTGCCAAAACCCTGGTGTATGACATTCCTTCCTCCAAAGATGGAATATTGCATTGTCCATCATCATTACATCCGCAGGTCACAGCATTACCATCACTTCGGAGAAGCGCAGTATGAGACACGCTTGCAGAAACCTGGATGTATAACATCCCTTCCTCCAAAGGTGGAATATTGCATTGTCCATCATCATTACTTCCGCAGGTCACAGCATTACCATCTCATCACTTCGGAGAAGCACGGTATGATCCGCACCTGCAGAAACCTGGATGTATAACATCCCTTCCTCCAAAGGTGGAGTCTTGCATTGTCCATGAAAGTTGCCTCCGTAAGCCACGGCATTACCATCACTTCGGAGAAGTACGGTATGATCGCCGCCTGCTGAAACCTGGATGTATGACATCCCTTCCTCCAAGGGTGGAATATAGCATTGGGAATCATCATTACATCCGCAGGCCACAGCCTTGCCATCACTTCGGAGAAGCACAGTATGATAATAGCCTGCCGAAATCTTGGTGAATGACATTCCTTCCTCCAAAGGTGAAATTTTTGCATCCACGGAAGTTGTCTCCGCAAGCCACTGCATGTCCATCACGTTTAAGAAGCACAGTGTGTGCACAGGCCATGGACCCAGTCCGGGCAAATGTTGCACTCTTAGTTGGACCAAATTCTTGGTGTCAGAGCAAATCGAGTTAGCTTATCTGCAGACCGACATAGACCCACAAAACCACGGGTGTCTGAAAAGGGCCAAATCCAGGACCTCCTCTTTCCCCTTTGGGGGGGCAAGTATTACAGCATAGATACAAGTTTAAGGTTGCATTGTTTAACCCTAAACTTGCCTGTTTGATCCTATTTGGGGATTCAATGGAGAGCCTGTCGTTGAGGGTCCGCAGAAGTCTAGATGACGATCACTATCGCCCTTCCAGAAGATAGTAAGAGTCCAAGAGAAGTCACACTTGCTAGCCCAAGCATTAGGGGACTTCCAAGACTGACCAATGCCTAGGGTCTGATAGGGCAAAAACCGCGGAATTGGTGCGACCTTTCCGTTCTCCAAGTCCAACCCGAGACGAACCATGATGCTCGGTGCTCGGGCACATGTGCCCCCCTCACCGGGCGGAGATGGTACCTCCGGGCCCTCGGTAGCCACTAGTAAGGAATTCCATGAGCTTGGATGGTCAGCACCCATGAGACCAGGCATCTCGCGTGTGTTACACACTTGGAGCATGTGGATCACCCTTGAACATCTCCAGGAGTGTCTTTGGAACCACTGGGAATGCCTGAATCCCAGCGACCTAGAACTGCCTGGGGTATCTTGGGGGAGACCCCTGAGTAGTGGGGGGTAGTCCAGACAGGAGACCCAGACAGGATGCTCCTGGTTCGGGGAAGGTGTCAAGTAGTCTCGACCCTTTGGCCATGACGGGTTCCAAGCATTCAGAGCTCGAGGTGCCACGGACCAGCAGTCACAGAGCTTGGGGTGCGGACTCCATGGAGGGTGCCGGTTCCGGGGTGGTCACATCCACATCCACTGCCCCTGGGATGGGACGATCCACACCACCCAACGCCATGTGACAAGACTTGGTACGAGAGGTTGAGAGACCTGAACTAGGACCCCATAGTGGTACCTTATAGGATGGGCTATAGCTATAAGGCTGTTCAACCTCTCTTGCTTGGGATCCGGATCCGGATCCGTTCCTCCGAACCCCCCCGTGCGGCGAACTCCGGCGCCTCGGGCTCCAACGGCTCCGGCTCCACCTTGGGCGGCAGACACACCCGGTGGTGACATGGAAGGATCGAGGAGTCACAAGAAAGACCACCAGACCTGGAAGGAAACCTTCCTCAGTCCAGTTCAGGAAGCTTGTCTTTTGATTTGCCTTTATTAGGTGTTGTGGCACCCAAACTCAAACATCATCAAACATCCTATCCTTTCCTCAGCATGCAGAAAAAAACACCCGCAGATTGGAGAACGCCGAGCCGATTGGTATGGGTATGGGAGGGCATCACCAAAAAAAATAAATATATATATATATACCAGCACCTCCAACAGGTCACCAATTGAAACCTGTTAGAGCCTAACAAACCTCCATTTCGGAGACCTGTTGGTTTCGGTGCTGGTATATAATATCAATTCCTGACCTATCCAACCTCCCAGATCCCCGAGGGTCACCACCACACGAGCAAGGCTGGCTGCGAAAACCCGAAACCAAACGAACACCCAAACGCCCCGTCGTTCGCTCCTCTGTTTGTAAGAAGAACACAGCCAGCCCTGCGAAAAAAGGGAGAAGGATCCTACTAAACTCACACAGCACACACACCATTTTCACTCACACACTCTCCCAAATGGCCGAAGCACCTGGCCCGAGATGTCACACTCACCGATCGGTTCCTTCGATGTCTAGGGCCACCAGACTGGCCGCTGGGCTTCTTCCGTGGCTTCGATGTCCGAGTCCTGGCCGAGCTGCTGAGCTCGGATGGTGGAAGTGGTGCCGGAGATGAACCGGGAGAGTGTCGGTCCATGTATTTTTTGGGGGGGTGGGAGTCTGACTAGTAGGACCCTCCGTTTTCGGGGTGTGCTGGCTGCACTACCCCACACGACCTATAGGCTTCCATTCACCCCTTGGATTGATCTAGATCTGACATTTTTGGGGGTGGAGGCCCCAACATGGCCGACCTGGACTTCTTCCGGGAACGATCTTTGGTCTCTTTTTGGACAGGGTGGAAATTTGGGTGCGATTGAAATGGTGAAGGTCATACCTGGAAGCCCAACTGGAAGCCAGTTCTGGTTGTTCCAAAAATGGCTTGTTTGAAATCCTCTAATGGCTGGGACTGGGGAGTTCCATCCATGTCTTTCTGGGACTGGGTTTTCCATGCAGGTATATAAGTTAAAATGTTGAAACAAAAGGTGCTAACCTGGCAGTGTTCCGGGCACTCCACAAAGAGAAAGGAGACTCCGGCAGGATGCCATCTGGATTGGCTTAGACTTAGACCTCCCTGAACCCTGAACTTCACATTGATCTCGCAAGTAAGAAATCGTCCTTTCACCTTATACAACACCACAAGCAAGGTGGGTTGCTACTGTGCGGCAGGCTCCCTCCTTAGCAATGGCGTATGACCTCCAAGTGTTTCGTATCTGGCTTTCGACCTCGACCGCTCCTCGACCTTGCTGTGAGTCGTACGTGGAACTCTGGTCCACTCCAACCCTGGCACCGCCACCCTTATCCGCCACGCGACGGTCTCCTCGTGGATAGGCAATGAATTAGGTAGATCAGACGGCTGCTGAGACTGCATCTCCTGGGACGAGATATGGCTTCAGGATTCGGCTGGCTGCATCGACCCTGAGATCACCAGGCATCACTGAGGCATCTCAGCAGTTCGGTTCCATGTCTGACCTCCCCACGCACCGTGGCGCACCTGGATCTGCCACAACTGCAGCAGCTCCGGCGTGACCTGCGCGTCCGAGCACGACCGACCCCGCGGTAGTCGGTCACCAGGAGGCCGTCCGAAGCTGTCGCAAGCATCGATGGGTCAATCGGTCCTCCCGAAAGCGAAGGACGCCTCATATCAAAGCATGAGAATACGGACTGGTGTGTGCTTAGTACGGAATAAGGGAATTGATCTTGGGGTATCTATTAATTACAGGGGTGGTTCATTCCCTCATTCCCTACCAGTCGCACGAGTCTGAAGAACAAGAACCTTTCGCCTTACGATCCTTTTGCCCAATTCAGGTGGCCAACAGAGTGTATCTTTTTGTTGCAGCTTTAGGATGCCAACACCCCACATCCTGTCCTTCAGGAAGCTGGGAGCCTTTCAAACCCCAAACCAATCAGTCCTTCAGCTTCGTTGCCTGCAGGGGCCTTTGCCTTGTGGACCAGTGCCACCGGTGTTCGCCTCACCCCGGCTCACCTGTTCGTACGCGGGAGGAGTGGTTTGCCCCAGGGGCTGCCAGGATTCTCCACCTCGGGCTGCTCTCCACGTCGGGCCGTGCGGAACACGGCACGGGGCACGGGCGCGAGGAAGTGGAGGCTGTGGGTGAAGTTGGGCGAGAAAAAGAGCGGTGACCCGGCAAAAGGCCTGGGTGAGGCAAAGAAAGTCAGAAGCCGAATCTGACTCCGCCATGTCCCGGAAAATCGGTGAGCCCGGAGCCCTCTTCCACTTGTTCTTGCTTAGTGGTAGAAGAAAGAGTAGTTATACTAGGTCCAAATAACTAGCAGAGGAGTTAACGAAAGCACATGCCAATTTTTCTGTGGTGTGATTTTTTGGCCGTGTTCCCAAGTCCTATCTCATGTGCCAGTATCACATGTTCCTTCTTTTTTAGCTAAGAAAACAGAGGGGCATCGCACTCAGGAGCAAGGAGCACCAGCCCCGTCATGAGACGCCACAAATCCTGAGTCACCAGAACCTAGCATATGTCCAAAAAATGCCTGCGTAGGGGATCCACCAGGGTCATTGGAGCCCCAAAAGAAAGTGATCTGGGTGATCCACTTTTCAATAGGTACCAGCACCCTCCAACATCCAACAGGTGCTTCCTGGTGACAAGTCCGGTGCCCAGGTTCACCACCTGTGGTCGCGTCTCCAAACAGACTGGCCAGGAGAGTTCCTGGTCTGACCGGACGGACCTGGACCGCTCCTGAGCCCCCCCCCAGCCGCGGCTGGGCGGACGAGGTCCGCCCTCCGGCCTCGGATGGAGGGAAGGCGAGGCAGTCATGGCCCAAAGGAGGAGGGTCTTTGAGACCCTCCGATTTTTTGGGTGTAAGGCTGTAAGGAGAGTGGGGAGGAGAGATGTACCTGACCTCCGGAGTCATTGCACGAAGATTCAGAAGGTTGGGTGTATGATGTGTGATCATTCGTCTTACTATCCGACCCACAGATCAGAACAGCTCCGTGCACCGGTAGGTCGATGTGGATTCGCTCCAAAAGGATGTTCCTGTCACCTCCACGGCCCCTGGGATGGGATGATCCACACCACCCAACTCCATGTAACTCCTGGTGTCTTTGTCCTTTCGAAGGGTTAGCCCCGGACTCTCCGTCGGCTCCCATCCAAAGAAACCGTACATGGGACTCGCATGTCCCAAAAATGAGAGACGCCATGAGCCCATCAAGGGTATTTAGTCCCTGATGTAGACTCTTGATTGGCAAAAACCCCAGGCCTGAAGAGGTTCTCAATCCAAAAATCGGAGGGTTCTATTGATCAAGAGTCTACATAACTGTGTCTTCAGGGAGGGGCACAGTTAGGAGTACGCCACTGCTCCTCAGGCGCAGACCGTTGCGCCTCATCTCGTGAGTCCAGCCGTGCCCAAGGCGCCTCAGGCCTGGAAAGGTCAGTCGATATCGGTGCCCAATTGGTTAAGGTATAACGCAACATAATGTATACCAGGACCTTCCAAGAGGTGTCTGTAAATAGCCTCTTAGAGGTTTAGGGGGTGTCCAAAAACCACCTGTTGGAAGGTCCTGGTAGTAGGATGATGTAGGATGTAGGGTAGACTGGCCAGTGGAACCCGAACAGATGGTATTGGATCCTTCAAAAGGGTCTCAAGCATGTTTGGTTCAGCTACCACTGTAACAGCAGGGTCCACAAAACATTAAGCGCATCCAAAAGCACCAAAACGAACTTGTGAACCAAAACAGACAACACCAAACAACCAGCACTCCCTCGAGACTCCATAAGTGTGAAAGCAAAACACCAGAAAACCATTAAAAGAAAAGCCTGTTGAACTCGCTTTGGACGTTGTTGTTCAGGGGCCTCTCGACCCCAAACAGCCTCGACTCCCCGAGTCGAATCTCCCCTCGGAGTCGACCCCACAACGGCCTGCGACCCTTTTCGTCGACCCCGGAAACCGAGTTGAGGAACCACCAAAAGGATCTCCGATTGCCAACAGAGCTCCCGGTGCGGACTCGGAGGGTGCGAACATCACATCCACAGCCCCTGGGATGGGACTCCAAACCCACCACACCACCCAACTCCGACTCCTGGTGCATTGGAGTGTTTTTGGACCCATCCCACGTGCTTGAAACGCCACGCACCCCGCAAAGCGATGAGTCCACTCTCCGGACCTGGTTTTTCGGTGTCTCGACTTGGCCAGGAGCTACGACACTGGGGTGATCGACTCTCTTCCGAAAAGCGAGAAAAGAATGCCAGTGCCAGGGCCTTCAAGGGGTGGTTCATGGACACCCCGAATCACCTCTAAGGGAGTCTAAGGGGCTATCAATAGACACCCTGGTGTGGGTGTCCTGGTAGCTTCTTGTTACTAGTAGCTTCTTGTTAACCTAGTAGTACGGCCAGGAGCTACGTTCGTAGCGTCCGATCGCTCCGTTCGTAGCGATGCCAGGAGCCCCGATCGTAGCGAACATTGTTCCTGGTGATATCTGGTTGCAGGCAACGTCGGTGTCGTTGGTGGTGGCGGTTTGTGACGTTCGCCAGTTTTGGGGAAGAGGAAATCAAGTCCAGAAGGCCAGCTCCCCCGACCTGACCTGACCTTTTTGAGACACTGCGATCAATTTTTTCCAGTATTCACTTCCGGCCATGGGTTTCACAGTGTTCCAAGTGGCCTCGCTACCTGCTGAGATTGCTCCCAAAGGTTGTTTTGGTGCGTTCATCATTCGTGGGGGAGAGTTGCTGAGACTCACTCACGCCATCAAGCCCTGCCAGTCACCACCCGTGCTGGAAGGCCTCGCCTCGCTGGTCTTCGAGGCGAAGGAATGCCAGGCACTGCCCAGGGCGCCGGAGTCCGGCCCGCCCGGGCTGCCTCCTCGGGTGTCCTCGCATCCAGCGTGGTCTCAAGTGTGTCCTGGTGCCTTCAGACGTTGTGTTGAAGTTAAGTGACACCCTTCCGGACGGAGTACCAACCACCCCAAGCGAAGACGAGCTCGATCTGTTCCGATCCCAAAATGGTGAATCCAAACATCCCTTTCTAAACCCAGTGCGCTTCCCCGAGAGTACCAGCTCCATTGAACCACCGTCAGACAGGAGGGACCAGGCTCTTTCAGCCCGACTAGCCATTCCATCTACTCTCCGAGCCGCCGAAGTCTGCGTTCAAGATGCCAAAACACTGGACGCACTAGACTCTCACCATCTTCTGAACTATCAGTTCTACCAGTTCGCCCATCTCCCTTCCACCTGCTGCACTTGATTCCTCACGTCCTCGCCCTCCACCCTCCACCCGCCTCCGCGGCGACGGCTCTGACGGCGCCGCTGCGCCCCGTCCCGCCGCGTCGGGCGGTCCGCGCCGGCGGCGTTGCTCCGCGAGCACCTGAGCAACGTGCTCCGCTGCCCAGGCGGCGGGGGGGAGTTCCGAGTCACAAAGGAAAGACATCGGAGGACATGGGAGCCAAAAAACCACCAATCAATCTGGTGGCTGGTCCGTGCGGTTCTGTGTGGTCTGGTGGTCCAAAGTTAAGAGGACTTTAGCTGGAGGTCCGAACTTCCAGGGTCCCTCATCTTTCAACTCGTCACTTCAGGTCCTCAATCTCAACTGCAGTTGATCGTACAAAAGCTACACCTACTCTACTCAGCTATAGAAAGGACCATGGTTTGGACTGGACCTCAGAAACAAATGGACGTCAAACTGCTCCAACTCCAGTCGCGCGAACTATCCGAAGTCGCAATAGGTACGAACTCTGGCACAGGTGGAAAAACCCTTTTCTTGGGGCATGGAGGTCACCAGCCTTTAGCTGCAAAAATGATGCTATGCTGGTAAATGGTGAGGTTGATCCTAATACCTGGGCCCAGTTGTTTACTGACTCTTACAGGCAAAATTCAGACAGACCCAAGATTTCAATGCCTTGGCACTTGGCACATCTGCTCCCTGTGGGTATTTTTGCCACGCCGATGCACGTCGTTCAAACGAGGTCCTAACGAGTGAGTCAGAAACCGTCCCAACCGGTGTTCGACGGTGCTCCGGTGCTCCGCCTCGCCGATGCGCTGGCGATCGGCCACGGTCAAGAAGGACGCTTCCTGGCGGAGTCGGTGTCGCCAGGACCGCCCGGACGGTGCGTGGTGTGTTTTTCGGGCTTTCCTTGGAAAGCCACCAATTTTTGCTGGTGCGCGGGTGTCTCCATCGAGGAAGAAGCCAACGGCGATTGGCCCGCCGTCGAGATAGTTGGAAGTGCATGTTCAGGTGTCTCTGTCATGGAAGGGAGAGGTCTAGAAGCCAAATCAAACCGCCACCCACAAGTCCTTTTCAACCAGTCCCCAGTGTCACTGTACACTAGGCATATATTCCATACCTGGACCCGCAAATGTTAATCGACACCCCTTGACCTCTAAGGGGCTATCAATAGACACCCCTTAGGGTGTCCTGGTACATACTCCATACATGGAGTGTATGGGGTGGTTTTCAACTGACCCTCAGGGCTGCGAGGCGCCCCTCTTTGGTCGATGGGGTGCAAACGAGTCGGCGGATGTCGGTGTCTGGAATTTCCCCAGAGCGAACCACAAAAGACAGGGCCAGAACTGCTGGGCGAACGCTATCAATCTGATGGGGTTGACAACGTCTCCCCGGTCTTGTACAGTGAATGTGAAAGGACTGACAACGACAACGACCCCTTCAACTAAACCCTTCAACCAGGACCCTCCAAGGGGTGTCCTGGCTGGACTACCCCACACTACCTATATAGGCTTCCAGACAGGGCACCCCGACAGGAGGGTCCTGGTTCAGTCAAGCGGTTCTCGTCGATCTGACGCTCCGAACCTTCTCGTCGATCTCATCGGGCGACATCTCACTGTCCAGTTCCTGGAAGCGCACAGTCACGAGCCCACAGAAAAGATGGCCACCACCGGTTCCGAGTCAACTAATGGGAGGGACCATGGTAGGCCACCACATACGATATCATACGATATGTTACATACTGGACCATCCTGTCTGGGTCTCCTCTCTGGACTAGCCAGCCCAAGTCCACCCCACAGCAGGTCCTCTCCGATGCTCACCTCTTCAGGCTCTTGATCTCGGTCCTGATGGCGTCGCAGAATGGCGTGGCCGAATCCGAGACCGGGGGGGTCGAGCCCCGTCTCGCTGGTGACGAAGCTAAGTCTCGCTGGTTCGGATGAAGTGAAAAATGATGTTTTGACCAATTGGGGATGGGTCGTGACCCACCTGAACCAGTCCACAATAGCCCACATGTGTCGCGAACGACTAGTCCACCTGGTAGGTGTTGCCTACCAGCACCTCCAACAGGTCACCAATTGAAACCTGTTAGGGCCTAACAAACCTCCAAAGGAGACCTGTTGGAAGGTGCTGGTAGGTATCCTTGATCCACAGCCGAATAGCTTCGAAGAAAGCAAAGTTTCGATCCACCTGGCGTTGGACACGAGTCTAGAGACTTCGTTTGCAAACCACCTGGCATTACCAGCCCCCCCCAACCAGCAATCTCTCTTCCAACCATGCACGACTGGTATCCACCAGCAGTGTTGGAAAAGAAAGGCCACCAGCAGTCACGTTCGACGGGGTGCGGACTCCATGGAGGGTGCCGATTCCGGGGTGCCCATTATCCACATCCACAGCTGGATAGGACGAGCCACAGCACCCAATGCCAATGTGACTCTTGGAACTGGTTGGGCTCAGCTGGTCTCACTACTCGGCCTCCCGGTGGGTCGTCACCAGCCTCGATTCCTTCGATCCAAACTGCGGGACCCAGGGGGCCGAGACTTGGCCTTGAAAAGGAGGCCACTCGAACAAACGAATCAAAAAACGAATCATCCTCTCCCCCAGAACCAAGAGTCACCTTTCCAGGAACCTTTGTTCATCCTCTTTGGAACAGATCCTCCCTCCACCGCCCCACCCGAGCTCCGCGGCCCGGGGAACGCGCGGCACGCGCCGCGCGGCGCGCGCGGAGCTGGCTGGGCTCCCCGGGCGCCCCACGCGGCGAAGGCCTGGGGGTTCAACGGACCCTTTGGCATCCCTTTGACATCCCTACCAGCACCGGTTGACCTGCCAGGTCACCAATTGACACCTGTCTTCGTGCCCTTCCCACCCTTCCCACCCAACCCTCCATCAAAGGGTCGACCTGGCAGTGATGGTGCTGGTAGACTTCCTGGAACGACCGTGCAACAAAAATGGGAACGACCTGGTTTTTCTAGTGTAAAATCCCAGACACCCAGACACGACGCTGTCTGGGACTGGCATGTTGATATCCACACATTGGGGTGGTGCCACAAAGGTCAATGCAGGCATATATGGCAGTCCCATTAGTCGTGTCTGGGTTTGGCATGTTTTTCCCTGCACTTGCGGAATTCTCCAGCCGCGCGTCCCGTCGGATCTCATCGAAACCAACAATCCCTTTTGCTTGAGCTGCAGCTGATTTGAGAGATTCAAAAGGCTGTTTCAGCCAAAAGCACAGGTTTTGTACAAGCCAGGTCTTACCGGCCTTACCCCAATCCTGCTCTTAGAAGTCACCATCAGGGCCACACACAGACATACAAACAAAAAATACATCTGTTAAGTGTCAGTCCCGAAACGATCCGAAATGCTTCTGCCTCCCAACGCACCAATGGGAAAAAAAACACAAATATGCCCAATGGTTGTATTCCAAAGGTGTTTTTGGCCTTTTTGGGGTTTGGTACATTCAGGCGACCACACCATAACAACACGTAAACAACTATGCTCGAAACTCATATTCTTCCATATTCTTCCTAGGATGGCGCGTGTGTGTTTCTTGGCCGATGATACCAAGTAGTCACCTCTGCGAAATCGAGCGGCGACCGCACAAGGGACCCAAGTAGTCACACAAAGGCCCACGGAGAAGAAACCAGAACAGTCCGAAGACCAAGTCCATCAGACCTGTCGCATCAACCAAACATACCAAAACACCAACCAAAATCACAGGACATCACCCCCCCAACAAGCTGGGTCCTCAGCTTCTTCTGACCTTCTTGTACCGAACCCAGGTCCACCCCTCCTGCCGACCTCCAGGTCGACCGGTCCGACCCGCCTCCGGGCGCATCGCTCCGTCGTCCATCGGTCCATCCGTCCTCGCGGCTTCGGAGTGGGGACGGATGCCTTGCCTTGGACTGGTGGCCTACTTGGCCTACTGGACTGGTGGTGGTGGTGAAACGAAGGAATGTAGATGAATGACTAGATGAAGGTATAGGTGGATATTTGGCGCCACCATGGATCGTCTGGGGTTTACACTGTCCACTTTCCATTGCATTGGAATAGCGGAGCAGAGTGGAGCAGAGCGGAGCGTTCTGCCATATTCAGAGAAAGGGGGACCGTTGAAAGCCAAAGGCCCAGCAGTTCCAAGTTTTCTGCTTCACTTGGTCAAGAGAACCCTGTCATTGACAGACTTCTTTTGGACATCTCAGGTGCCTAGAGAGATGAAGGTGGAGGTCGTCATCATCCCGTCGCCCAGGTGTTGTCACCCGGGCTGCCGACCAGGGCAGAGCCCTGGTGCAGCACCTAATCTACCGATCTCCAATCCTCTGCTTTGAACCAATGTTGGGTGTGTAGCTCCAAAACAGGTCGAGTTGAAGAAGCTGGCAGATGTTGAGTTTGACTGAGTCCATACCAGATCCATGGGCGTCCATGGGTGTTGGATTGCCACGCAAACCAAAAGTAGAAACATGAAGGCAGGACAGCTTATACGATCTTTTCCTCGCTCCATGCTCGATGACTCAGGTGCAGGAGAACTAGGTACCAAA